ATAAAGCAAAGGGTAATCGGCAACAGTTCATTTATTTGAAAAACTTTAACATTGTCTGAATTTTTAATGACCTGACGTTACAGGGACAAGATATTTATCATATTCTGTAACAAACTGTTTGTAAAAATATAATAAAATGTCCGTAGGTTTACTCCGTAAAGAAATAAGGAAATAAGCGATTTTTCACGACTGTCATTAAATTAAATGAAGTATTTATGGTTGCTTATAAATTGTATAGAATAATTAAATGTAATCCAAACGAAAAGGAATGTTTATTTGACATGATGAAATGAGATTTTATTTAATGATTTTATTTAATGGAAAATTTTCTGAAAATTATACTCCAGTATCCTATATAAATATATATATATATATAGGTATGTTTGCCATTACAATAAATATGTCAAAAACTCAAAAGTTCGGTACTATGGTTTCATTTAGATAAATAATATTGGATTTGTGAAAATTAATTATGTGCATTTTTCCACGTAGTATTAGAAAATAAACATCGGTTAAAGTAACTTGAAATGAATGAAAGAGGAAGACTTTATTAAGTTCAAATATTAAGGTTTAATTTAATTTAAGTTTTATAAAATACGAACACTTTTATGTATAAATTAAAAGTTTTTCCTAGTGCATATAATTACATTCTGTGATTTAAAATAGAAAATGCAAGGACTAGAATAATTTATTGATAATATCTTATAAGAAAAGTAAATACGCTGTGCAGAAAGAATTGAATAAAAAACAAATTACACTTATAATTTTGTCTGCATCTCTAACAATACAAATTGAGGAAAATAATTGATCTTGACATCAATTATTCCTCTTCTAAGAATGATCAGTGAGTTTCATTTAAAAAATTAAAAGAGTAAATTAAATTTTCAAGCATCAAGTAAAAATATAATATAACACGCCACCCATAATTAATAATTAATCGCAATTATTTTGAATTGTGATTAGGTGTTGTTTTTATTGAAGATCAAATATAGGAAGATCATATGGAACACGTCAATGTAAAAGTGCAGACATTGTTTACTTCTCAATTTTTAATACTAAGAATGATAAAACTAAAGCAATTATAAGTGTATTAAAATTTTATTATATTTTAACACATTCAGTTTTTTGATGATTATGGTACTCTAATTAATTATTTACTATTGCTTAACAAGAATGTTTAAATGCTTTCTCTGAATAAGTCTGCAAAGGTAACACCAACATGGATACTGAACATAATATTATTTCTACTTTTGATAACTTGAATTACACAATCTCATATTTTCTTAATTATCTCATGTCTTAAGTCGAGTCACTTATTTCTCTTCTTCTTTTCGTAATACGTTGGAAATTTTAACCACAATCATATTACTTATTGCCTAAGCCACTTTCGTAACTAAATTTATCTTTTTTTTTATCTTACTAAAACATTAAACTTGTACTCAATGTAATATTATTTATTTGTAATATTTTGTAAATTTTAAACTTATAAAAAAATTAATTTTTTTTTTCAATTAGCATTTTATAAAAATTATAAATATGTTATCTGTCTATTTATGTTATTTAAAATTTTTAACTTATGAGTTTATTTGAAAATCTCATATCACTTCTATATTTAATAATTTTTTTTTTTCTAATCTAATGTGAGCCACAAAAAAAATAAATAAAATGTATTCATTTTTAACTAATTGTTAAAATCATCGTGAAAAAAAAAACATTTGTTTAAACAATTTATTTAATAAATATAAAAAAAAAAGTTGTAAATATTATACTAATATAATTATTTTCAATGAATTTATAAAATTGAAAAATAACGTAAAATACATAAGATTATGGTTTAAGTGCAGCCTAAACAAAATAAAATGTAAAATTATAAATACTATACGAAAGAAATGTTACATATCTTATTTGAAATCCTGTAACCAAATCACCAAGCTACGAATATGTATATTGATTTTGTATACTGTTCTCTCGGAAACCCATATGATGGGCAGTTCACTTAATTAAGTTGTGATACATATAAATCTAATTTGTATTCAAACGCGTTTGAAAATAATTACAGACCATCAATCCGATGACCTTCATAAATAATCTGAACATAATAAAGTTAAAATAGTTTTAATAAAATTAAAAATATGCTTACAAATATAATTACAAATATGCTTCAAAAATATGCAAAAAAAAATATTTTTTTTAACGCAAAATGATCAAATTAAAGATATTTTATTAAATATACTTGTACGTAACTGTATAAATGTTGTTAGTATATTATACTAAGCTAAACATAATTTCTAGGTATATATAAGATAAAATAAAATAAAATAAATAGATTGAAATTTAAAATTTTCTTTCAAAATATTCCCATTAAGTTTTTCATAGTGCCATGAAAATAATTTCAAGGTTACTTAGCAATAAATTGAATAGCCCAATAAAATCATGCAAATGCAACACCTTCCGAGCTCTTTGTTGTTACGAATAATGTTATCATAGAATATTAAATTATTACTATTAAAATCAGTAACTACACGTTCAAAAGTTGGATAAAATGAACTTCACGGTATCTTATGGTTAGTGAGGTAACTTGTGATTTATTATATGGTATACCTTGATATAACAATATGGTTCAGCCAATCAGAGATAATTATTTTAGAATACACGACACGGCACGGTGTAATGTGAACCATAATCATAATCATAATTCTTAAATAAAATCAGAATTCTTAAAAAAAATGAAACTGAGGTTACGGTTACGGTTACGGTTAATACCGGTTATAACCTGTTACCAAAAATTATTTTTAAGTTAGAATTTTAAGTGATTTTAACCGTATAGCTAACTACTTTATGTGTACGTCTTTATATTATTCTTTGTAACCTAATTCTAAAACTAATTTCTATTTTTCTTTCATTAATACCTACTATATGTATTAAGTATTGAGTACATTGTACTATTGTACATGCATTATAATTTCCAATTGTAAGAGTGTTATGATTTGAGACTTACTATAACATAACTATATTTTATTTATTTTTTCCGTTTTGAAGATGTTGAATCTGTAGTATTGCCTTTCCTTGGCCCACAGTGATAGGTATTCATACATCAAACAACTTCATTTTTATATAGTACGTACCAAAAATGACATTTATGTACCTAATATTCAGATGTTTACTTTTTAAGTTTTGGAATTAGAAATTATATATATAGGTAAGTGTCTATAGATAAACATTTTAAACTTTAAAAATTATCAGAATTTGGGTACTGGTGATGTAGTGCTATAAATCCAACAGGCTAATTTACATCACTATTCTAGGTATTGTGTATAGAATATAAATGTTTAATTTATAATTTAATGGATACTTACAGTCAATGTTGATCCGCAACTTTTGCACTATGATTTTTTTCAATATTTCGTCATACGTGAAATAACCATATACAGAATTCTGCGTATGGCGAGCCATAATTATTTTAATATTAAATAATACAATAATTTAATAATTAATACAAAAATTCAAAATGAACTATATTTAATAAACGTGTCAATACGCGGCATAAACGATGACCGTCATCACCTGCAGTCGCCAGCAGAATACAAAAAATGCAATAAGAGTAGTAATATAGGTAGTATTATTATGTGAATAATATAAAAATAACATTTAATAATGTATATCTAGTAACAGAGGCGTACTGGGAGTTGTCCGGCCCAGTGGGAATATGGGGTTACCGGCCCAAATATAAGTTAAATATAAAGGAGCATACCCTCCCCCCTCTCCCCTCAAAAAAAGTATACTTATTTTTTTTAAATCTTAAATCACTTCTATATTATAATAAAATATATTGCTAATGTCTTGTAACTAAAAATTGTATTTATATTAGAAGGCAAATACCGTAATATACTGGAGTAATATACTCTAAATGTATCGTAATTACATATCAACAAACAGTCAATATTAGGCTCAAACGAATTTTGTTTATGTAATCAGTGCCGTGCCTAGTATAATCAGCTCCCGGTGCTAAGAATAATTTCTAGTGCCCTCACCCCCTCTACCAAATATTTTTATACTTATAAAAAGTCTACATAACATTATTGGAGAGCCGGAGACAGATTCGTCAGATTTACCTTATTTTTCACATTAAACATTTTTGTCAACATGTACATTGTACAAAGACTTCTAAAGATGATAATATGTATACAGAAAAAGAGCCTTAACATAATTAATAAGTTGAATTTTCAGTAATATTACTTAGGTAGATTATAAAAATGCGTTTGGCGCCCCGTTGGTCAATGGCACTCGGTGCACACGCACCTCTCGCACCCCCTTAGGCACGGCCCTGTACGAAATTATAATTCATACTATGCATTATAATAAATTAATAACAATACATTTGAGAAAAAACATTATGATAAAATGTATTTAATAAAAATCAAAAGTTATTTTTTTTACAATGAAAACATTTTTGATATTACTCTGAAGCTAGAGCTTTTAGCTAGCTTTTAGGAATCAATAATATTTTCAATTTTAATTTTACCGAGTAATTGTTTTTCAACACTCATAATTAAAAGTGCTTCTAAATTATCTTGACTCATATAAACCCTAAGTCTGGTTTTAACAAGTTTTAGTTTGCTGAAAGTTCTCTCACAATTTACCTTGGTGACTGACAATGTAAAAAAAAATGCATTTGAAGCACATAATTGAGTATAAGCTGAGACATGTATTTTTAAATTGTATAACAGTTTATATACACATGGTAGGCAATTGTTAGTGTCATGTATGATGTTTTTGTTATTACCTGAAATCAAACATAAATTTAAAAAAAAAATATTAATAAAATTATTTTTGAATAAACAAAAAGTACAAGCTAACTCATAAGAAAATTCTGTATCAGAACATATATTGTCTTCATCGTTATCTATATCTGAATCAGTATCAAATTGACAGTAGATTTGTTTGGTTTTATCTATTGTAGATATTTTTAATTTTGGATATACTTTAGAAACATTTTTAAGTTATAAACAAAGTTGTTCATGGTCTAAATTTGCTAAATTTGCCAAGTGTTTTAAAGCTGTATTTGGCATTTGTTCTATTTGTTTAAAATTTTTAGGGATCAAGTATTGAACATCTGCTATCAATTGATTATTATCGGTGAAACGTTCATTTAGACTATTAGTAATCTGGTCAATTATTGTTTGATATGTTTCAACTCTGAACTTGTTTAATGATAACTCCGGTGTTTCATCTTCACATAGCTCATCATATATTCTTTTTTTCCTGATATTCTTAGTAACAGGTAAAGAAGAAGATGATACTAATCAATCTTCAGGAAGATTCATACTATTAAGTAAGTTGTTCATATTGTTCGAAAAATGTATAGAACATTCTAAAATACTGTCAAAGTCAATTTGTCCAATTTATAGTTTTACAGAATCTATCATACTCCAAGCTGATAATAAATTTATACCTCTTGTCTGAAGATAACGTGACGTTGGTCCAATAATTTTAAAGATTTTCAAAAATATATGAGCTGTGAGAATTATTTTAAAATTACATAAATTATCTAATAAAGAAGATGCTTCTGAACAAACTTTAGGTTCAAAATTTTTGGAAATAGAAATATGATGTAAAGCACTAATAACTATAGGAAAAAGACATTTATCACAATCAAAAATCCAAAACAGAGCTTTTTTTCGAGACCACCATCGCGTATTGTTTTCTCTTATTTTTTGAAGCTTTTTCAATTTATTTGATCCCAAACTTGAATCAATTTCATGTAACCATACGTGCATACGTTTATAAGATTCACTAAAAAATGTTGATAATCCATTCAAAAATCCAAACAGTTTTTTAGCTTCCATATTTCTACATGTATCACATACACATAAGTTAAGCACATGACTATAGCACCATATATAAATGCTTTTTTGGTTTTCTTGACTTTTAATCTTAGATTGTAAACCTGAATACTCTCCTTTCATGTTTGTTGTACCGTTAAATGATTCACCAATAATACGATCAAACTTAATGGAATATTCAGAAAAAAGTTTTTTTAACATTTTATAATAGCCATTTCCTGATGAATCAACCACTTTTAATAAAGCAAATAGTCTTTCTTTTACTTTACCTTCATAAATGTACCGTATGCACACTGCAGCCTGATCTAAAACACCAACACCTTGTGTACTATCAATTTGTAAACTGAAATTTTGTTCACCCGATTCCAATTTAATTCTATCCCTTATTGACTTCATGATAGATAAAACAACTTTATTCACGGTAGTTTTAAACAGTAAAGTTACCAGTGAACCCCTACCACAAGAAGTTAATGATTTCTTTTCTAAGTTTACTTTTCTGCGTTTGCTGTTCTCTATAGCGGAATTCAAATGTTTGTATAACGTAGCATTACGTTTAGCTGTAAACTTCACCAACTCCAAAAAATTTCCATTGTTCAAATTGTCTTCATCGTCCCACTTATATAAGCTTTCAGAGTTTTTAGGACCTCTGAATGGCAAATTTTGACGACCGAGAAATTTAACTATTTCAAAAACTTCATTTAAAACATGAATATTATCTAGAATTTGATTTTTTTTTTATTGCCATTAAATTATTATTGTACCAAATTCAATAGATTTATCATTAGATGATTGAATAAAGGCTTCTACTGAGTGCCTGTGAGTTGATGATTCTTCATGTATTTTAACAACTTCATGAATATGTTTGAAATTTTTACAACCGTTAGAAAATGTAGTAGCAGATGAACTAAAAGCAATGCAAATCGGACAGTATATAGCTTTGAGCTCATTATTAACACATAGCACTGATAACCACTTTCGTGCAATTTTTTTGTCATCTTGTGTCTTTCTAAAATAAAGCTTTTGTAGATCTAGTTGAATATTACTGAAAAATGATGGCTGAATAGGATGTTGTTTAACAAAGTTTATTTTTTTAGGATATCAGCATTGTTGTCTAGTTTAAATAACTCTTCATTAGGTGGCAAATGATACTCAAGAGATTCCACTTCCTAAAATATAAGTTTCAATCAATTTAATGATATAGAATATAATATACTAATATCAATATAGATATAAAAATTTAATTAAAGACCATTTTAAGTGCATTGTATACTATAATTTTTGACATTTTCAATACATTATTTAAGGTTTTTTAGTGCACTAAATTCATAGCCTTAATTATAACATTAACTATTAACTTTAATTCAATTAACTATTGTTTTATATATAACAATGTTCTTTTTTTTTTTATAACACAGTTTTGTCATTTTTAAGAAGTGCTTGGATTAGAAATAAGGTAGAAAACGAATGTAAAAGTGTAAAAAAAAAAAAAATTGAAGGTTTAAATGATTTATTGAATTGGATATAATTAGAAAGAATACTGTAGCATATTTTTATAAAAATTTTGGGGGGGGCCTGGGCCACAAGCACTGTTTTTTTAAGTGTATTTTCTAAAGAATAACAAGTATTTAAAACCAATATATTTAACTGTTAATAATATTAAAAACATTACCAATGATTTTTCTGTAGCTGTGCCTGTTTGATTTTTAGTCACAGTAAATGCTAAACTTGAACCAATATTTCTTATTAAATCATGCTCGTTTTGAACTATAGCAGTAGAATTCCTAACACACTAAAATTTAAAATAATATACTAATATGCTAAATAGAAAAGGCGTATAATAAATAATTAACACATAAATAATAAACACATTTTTATTCATTTTTTTTTTTTAAAGTTGAATTATTTCATTAAAAATTGAAAATTGATAGTTATATTAAGAAACTTACCTATAACTTCTCTGCAGCTATATTTATTTGATCACACTAAAATGTAAACAAATATAAACCTAATTAATATGCTAATATTAATGTCGTATATTATGTGTGTAATAAATAACTAAATATTTTTACATTAGGTAGGTAAATGTGTAAATTAAAATTATAAAATAAATACTTACTGGATTTTCATTATTCGACTCATTGCCACTAGGTTTTGTTTTTTTAAATACATCTAATATGTTTTGATATGATTGGGCTACAATTTGTAAATTAATTTTTTTTTCGCGTTCTTTTGCAGCTCCACATTTTGGCTTCTTAGAATTCATTATTTAAAATGTTTACAAACAGAAATAAAAAGCGTAAATATATCCAATATAAGGAATAACGCGCTATTATAATATGTCTTAATACAGACTAGTAGACCATACTAGACAAGAATACTATTATAGACAAGACTACAGTTTGTAATGTGTAGCGTTTGTACTCGAGCAGCAGTGTGCACGTCGTCACTTCGTCACTCGTCAGTCAGCAATCGGAAATACTCGCGTAAAAATAATTATTGTTATTTTTGGATGTATATGGTATATCTATGCTCACCCATACTGATATGATTTTACACATCTACATAAATGTACAATGAACACTAGAACACAAATACACAATACTACAAAAAACTCGCCAGCCACCACCCGGTGACCAAACGATGACCTGCATTTAAATGGTATTATTATTCATATTACATTGTTATTTGTTTATTAAAAGTTATAAATAGAAGTATCGTCGTACCAAGCTGAATAAGATGTATATTTTCTTTATTTTGTGTTAATAAAAACTTGCATTTATAACCGTTTTATAATATAAGATAAACATAATAGACTTATTTTGATATAATTATTTAATTGATTTAATTAATTAATTAATTATAATATTAAATAGTTCCTTTTGCATTTTTTAATATAAAATATTAATAATGGGAAAAAGTGCTATTAATAAAATATTTTAAATATATCATATTTAGAATATCATAAAGAATTTTGGTTTGATAAAATAATTAAGTAATTGCACCTGTATAAGATAGTTATATAGCCTTAAAAAATATTGCGTTATATTAATTATAATCTACGATGTTTTTATGTGAAATAATTATAATGAGTTAGGTACCATTAACAATGAAATAATGAGCAATTTTACAAAGAAGCAATTTGAAAAGCACCGAGTGCTTTGAGGCACGTGTTGAATTCAATCAAACTTAAAATTGTTCTATATGTTTCTGTACGTTATTCTTATACACAATAAGACTATTTTAGAATCATTGAAAATAATATTTAAAGTTCAAATGTAACTATTCACAATTGATAAAAAAATGGTTTTAAATTTAATCTAATAATTACTAAGAATCTATAAAATCTCCTCTTGTAACATCTAGCAGTTTAATTGATGTTGTAATTTTGAAAAAATATGTATTTTAATCAAAAAATGTTAAAACTGTGTTTCTGAGATTTTTTTTTCACGTTACACTCTACTCAAAATAATTGAGAAAATACGTTGGTATTCAAATGCTATGCGATGAATTTTAATGCGATACACAAGGGATATATTGTGTACGTAGATTAATAATTAATACTCGAGTAGTATATGTTGTATAAAATGATTTTTTTAAGATTATTTTACCTTCATTGGCTTTTTTTAAATTTTAACTCGTTATATTTTATCCACAGAACATTATTTCATGATTTATAATTAAAAAAAAATTTATAATTTTATAACAGAATAATGTTTGAAATATTTGTTAGCATAATTACGTGGTAACATAATTAAAACCACACGTTTATAAATAAATATCTATCGTGGTGTATATGTATATAAATACATTATTTTTTAAACGATATGTATTACATTATAATTATACGTGTGTATACTTTTTTTCTTATTAGAAGATGTTAAGCTCGAATATCAAGATTCTATAAGCGATTGATTGAGTAATTTACAAATCATGGATGGCTTGATGCCTCGGTTTTATTTTTGTTTCTTATACTATATGTGCATTGATTAATTGTATTTTATGCTAATTATCTAAGTTCAGAGTTACCATATACTTATTATTCAGGAGTTTATCTCGTCAAATATGTGTCCTTTATGCGTTATAGATACTCTAGCAGTGTTGGAACTTATATATATATATATATATATATAATATGCATAAAACTTATATGCAAACACAATTAACAAGAAAGGGGCGAAACACAAGAGCGAATAATACGAACGAAAAACGGTAAACAGACACTTTGTACTATTTATTATTTGAATAGCATACCGTGGACACTTTATAAATAAATTAGTAGAAATAGATCGCGGGCACTTTGTATGGTGATAATAAACCGGGAAATATATTTTACAAGATATATTTAATTAAATTACTAAAAACTTTAGATTGTGAATCGTGATTGCTATCAGTATGAGACATGAGTTGGGTGACACAGTTTAACATAACCTATACACTCTAAAATACACTATAAACTAAAACAAAACTGCTAAATTAAATCCAAACATTTTTCAATATGGTTATGATTATACCATTTTAAGAATAAATAAATTATATATTCGTTGGAAGTGTTTAAAATTGACTTGTACAAGTAAAGTTACTACAAACCTTTATGAACCGATGGGTTATAAAATAAAAATCATATTATTTTATAATAGGTATATCATAATTATTTTTTAAAATACTTTTTTTTTATTTACGTCATAGTATGAATTATTTACAAAATATACTGATCATAATCATGATCTGAGTGATAGCAATAAAGTATTAGAGTTGAAAAACCTTGCACTAATATGAAAATTCGAGCTATTAAAAGTAAAGAATCAACAAATCAAATTCTTCTGTTTGTAACTTATGAAAGTAATGATATTAGTATGATTTTTAATCTAAATATAATGTATATATTAAATATTTTATTATATTTATATAAAATAATTAAAGTTTAATACTATGCAGAAAAGAAAAAAAATGTATACAATACTTATTCGTTTTATCTCATCTTGGCATTTGTGTCAACCACAAAAATGTTAAGATAAATACTTTTTTGACATAATTGTTATATCTACCATATATTAACGCTATTTTCATACGTATATCAATGTAGGTAATACTAGAATTAAAAATTTGATATATTATTATATGATTTATAAGATAATTATTGTTTTTGTTACAAAAAATGTACGCAAAAAATAGGAAATATTGATTCTACATGTAAGATTATTCATCGAGCACGTCGTAAAACTGATCCGGAAGAATCCAAAAGTATGCAATTTATATTTCCCAAGAAATGGAAAACGACTATGGATAATGATTCAAAAAAATCAAACAATTAATAATTATTAATTTAATTAAAATTAATTTGAATTAAAATTCTTATAGGACAAAACATTTTAGCGAAGGATGACACAATTCATTCAATAAATTGGTTGGATCGGCTAATTTAAGTTTCTGGAGTATTTTACGATATTCTATACAGTTAAATGAATGTGCTAGTTATTTAAACAAAAATGTAAGAAAAAAAACCAATATTACCGCTTGTACGCTGAACAATACGTACGGTTCATCTGTATCCATTATGAAATCAATGTACATAAAGGGACATGAGTACATATATATATATATATATATATATATATAATAGTTTGATCTAAATAATATAAGTCAGTTCAATAACCGTAGCACGTGTATGATGATGGTGCAATATAAAACGACAATCGACCCTCACGTGTATTCGATTACACTGCATATACATACAATACGTCTGGGATTATACACGTTGATTGTTATTCTGTACTACTGTACTTGCAGACTATCCAATATAATGTGTGCAGTGCATACTGTACAGGGATGATTAGATGTTTTCGAAACATGTAGGACTACCTTAAATCTCGTTTGTTTGTATATGTGTGTGTGTGTGTGTGTGTGTGTGTGTGTACGATTCACGAAAAGTATAAACATTAAATTCTAAACGGGTGAAACGATACCATTACGAGTGTCGCACGACGTTTATAGATCGTCATAAATCTCGAGATAATCGTCGCCGCAGATAATATACAGCCTCACGTATAGACGTTTTTCCTTCTCTACTGCAGGATATCATTGCTCACTTGACCTTCGGATGGCGGACGTGTGTAGTGGATGACTGAAGATGGCCGTAAAAATAGATACGCTTCACCGTTATATTCAGCGCAATTACATAGTATGATCGAAAAGTCACCGAGCATAGTTAGGACGTAGACACGCGAGTGTAGGAATGTATCCAGAAAATTTATATTTGGGGGAGAGGGGAGGACTACAATTTTGAGCCCTTGTATCATTTCCTATAATGTTTTTCCTATGAGAAATTTTTAGAGCCTGTAGAAGGTATTATTTGACATTATATAGTTTTCATTTAATATTATTTCAACTTTGAACAGACCATACATTTTACTTTTATAATTAACTTTAAAATAACGTTTTTTACAAATTTTTTTTTTTTTTTTTTTTACTTTATTAGAGAATTAATTTTTTTCACAATGAGCGTATGTGTGAAATATTTTTTGTTGACATGATTAATGATTAATAAAAGAAGCCCACCTAGCTGTGACACTTTTTGTACTTGCTTAGTTATTAAAAACTTAATTATGGTTCATTAGGTCTCATAACCATTGGCGAGCTAATCGACTAGGAGGCCTTGGGCCAGAGCAAATTAAGAGGACCCGATCCACTCAGGCTCTCTGGTTTCGAGTGATAGTAGAGACAATATTTCCCTCCACTCTACGGATGTTTTTTTTTTTTTTTTGAAACAAAGACGATTTCCGCTGTACATTATCGATTAATATTTTTTTACCGCGCAAGTTTATCAAATGGATTATATTACCCGGCCGTAGGCGGAAATCAAGTGACATAATTTTTAGAATAGGGTTTTTCACTTTGTAGCACGATTTATGAACGGACAAGTAAGCCGCGGTACTGGACATGTTTACTCTGTACTCGGATATTATCGATGGGCTCGGAAACATGTGTAAAATTCCTCTCCTCGATCTCCCCACGTCACACATCCTGCCGGGCTTGGCGTAAAAACGTAACCCTGGGTTTGAACAAATTATCACGCAACAATGCGTCAAAACACGCGTGTGTAGCTGTAATGGTGATATGGGTGCGGAGGATCAAATGCGATTCACACGCGTCGATACATACACGTACACTAGTGCTCTGTTTGGTCCGGTCCGTATCGTTGTGATCCGGTTTTATCATATACAAATTGGTAAAGATTTCGGTCCGGTCATAGTTTAAACTATAATCATTTTACTTGGGTCCTGTTTCTAAAATATAAACAGATCGTTTTCTAGCTCATTTAAAATCCAAATGATCTTAAATTGTAAAAATCATTATTGAATAATAATAATACGTGTTATTAATTCTTTAAATTCCATATAATTCAATAACACGTATATTATCGTGGGAATCGATGTTTTACTTCTATGCCGTTGTTTTATATATTTTGCAGGTATACTGAGAGATATATCTCAGGGCTGTTCATGGTGCCTAATAATAATTATTATTGAAAATATTTTCACGAACAACGGTTGTTATTATTCTCGTTATGGTGCGGGCGACTTGTAAAGCGGATACGGCGGGCGCGACGTTTGTCAGACGATCACTACGGCCGCTAAGGGATGGGACACGCGTTCGGTCACCACTAATGTGGTAACCCACTGAATTATTGTTCTGGTTATTATTCGGTTCAGTGCGGTAA